AGAGAAAGAGAAAGAGAAAGAGAGAGAGTTGAGGTTAAAATAAAGACAGGGTGTGTGTGTGTGTGTGTGTGTGTGTGTGAGAACTGATAAAGGATCCAACGGTGATAAGTTCAGAGCTCTAACCTGATCAGTAATCTGTGCCCGCAGATTCTGGATCTCTGCCTTCAGAGACATGTTGTCGTTGTGCAAAGCCTGTGAAGCAGAGAAGTCATTTATTCACTCAAAACAGCAAATTGAAGTGAGTCAGACATTTGTCAAAGCACTGAATAAATGATATCCTGTTGGCGGCGTTGAATGCTCTGCGTCGTCTTTTATCTTCCTGATTTAAATCCGTCAACTGTCTCAGCACTTTGTTGGAACATTTACAACATACCAGAGGACATGTGAACCCCATGCAACGTGTCAGTGATGGAATGTCTATATGAAGCAGTGAGTGAGACCAACACCTGCATGTCTGTTTCTCGACTGGCCCCGCTGCTCCTCTCGGCGTTCAGGGAATCCTCGAGACTCTTTCTCTGCAGCTCCTTCTCAGACAGTCTGCACCGAGAAGGAAATGAATTAAAAGGGAATTTATTAAAAAAAAAAAAAAACAGTAAAGACAACAGCTTTGTCTAATGGAGAAAAGACTCTTCTCTACTAACAGTTTCTGAAGCTCTTCAATGTGGGAGAGGTGTGCTGCCTGTAAACGTAGAAAAGAGATCTCATTAGCCTAGATAGGTACTGTTCTTAAAATCAATACGGCTCTTCAAGGTTGACCCACATACCTGTGATGAGATCTGGGCTTGCAGACTGTCATTCTGGACTTTCAGTGTCTCGGCCTGCACCTGAAGACTGCTGTTTTCATTCATCAGCTCCTGTTAGAAACAGATGTTGACGAATGATGAATCAACTCTTAAAAATTCATTTTACCACACGCGACTTACTTAAAAAATGGATTTAAAGTTCAAGTTCAAATATAACACACTGGTTCAGGGCTCCGACGACTCACCTGGACCTGGGTCTGTAGGGACTCGTCGGGGACACTATGCTGCGACATCTCCATCAGCTCCATCACTTTCTGCTCCAGCCTCTCCTTGGAGACCATGGCTTCGGTCAGGCTGCCGTGCAGGGTCTGGAACTCCTTGTTCTTGTTGTTCATTTCCGTCTCGATGGCCAGCAGCTGACTGTGAAGCTCTGGAAACGCAGGTGTGGAAGACACCGGATTAAAGCCAATGTTGATTTTATTTTCAGACTGATTTCAATCGTCACATGTTCGACACCTTGGTTAGAGGCCTGAAGCTTCTCTCTCTCTGCGTTAACGTTGTGGAAAAAGTTCTGCAGTTCTTCCCAGCGTCTCTTGGCATCCTGCAGCTGAGCCTTGAGGTCAGGAAACATTTGGAATTACACACTGGTAACATAGACTAGTACGTTAAACATACGAAATCACACTGTTCTGTCAACTTTTTCCTCTTGGTGGCACAGAGGAGGATTATGACACATGGGGTGTCGATATGTTTTTCACAGAAGACCAGATCTGAAGATGTCAACGTTTGTGAGGACCAACTATTTTTGAAGCATAGAAAATAAATGCAAATTAAATATTTTCTGGATTTTTTTTTGCAAATGTCAATTTTTAATTTCATCACATGGATGACAAATCTAAACAGGTCTTACTAAAATCACTAACATCTAAAGACCATAAAAAAAGTCAAATCTGTCTGAGAAAAAAAAAATCTAAGAAACTGAAAGTAGCTGAAGCGTGTGTTGACGGACAAAACAATATGTTTTATTTATGTGCAGCTACTGGCCCCTGGGCTGGACTTTGGGCATTCAAGCTTTAGAACAGGGGGGTATCAATCACCCATACCCCCACTTGAGGTATCAATGAGGCCGACTTAATGAATTTTGAAAAGAAAAAAATGAACAAACACTTTATGTTCAGGAAATGTTTTGTAAAATTATATTTCATTAAATATAAAGATTTATCTGAAGTACCTTTTTTGCATAAAAACAAAGGGGAAAAAGACAAACCTTTTGTTATTTATATGCAATTATTATGATTGCACTGGTCTGGCCTGCTTGACATCTAATTAGGTTGTATGCAGCCCCTGAAGCAAAATGAGTTTGAAACCCCTGCTCTAGAGGAATTAGTCGTGACTTAATGAGTAAATGCTAAAAATGCTGAGCCTGCTGTGTGTCTAGCCATCAACTTTGACGGCGGTCACAGAAAGACAGGAAGCCAGATCTGGTCGTCTAGCAGGAAAGCG